CATCTGGTACGAGCCTGTACGGCAGTAGACCACATCCGCGGGGAGAAGGCCGAAGTGAAGGGGGAGGAGTGCATACAGCAGTAGCACTCCCTGGTGCAAGGAATCGGGCTTGGCTAGACCGCTTGCGGGGATTCGAGGGAGATGGCCGGGGGAAGAAGGGAGAGGGCGGATGTCGGCATGGATGGAGATGAGGATTGGAGGAGGAGGAGGAGGCTGGGTGATCGACAGGTGAGCAGGCACGGGTCGGCAGAGAGGGTGCAGTGGGTCACGTCCATGGTCACGTGCCCAAGGAGCGCGGCGTCCCCTGACAGTTGAGACTTTCAACAGGAAGGGCGCTGTTGTTGTTACTTGACTTGAGAGATTTTCCTGTAGAACAGTGAGTGAAAGTCAATACTTGTGATAGAAAGCTCCATTACTTCTCTCAATCATATCCTCAATCAAGTAAGAGCACAGAAGAGAAGAACTATTTTTGCTGGAACTTCCCATTGAAATGCTGAGGGCGCACTCACAAAAGAGTCTATTGTTGAAGTAAACCCAAATATAAACATGTTCACACTCCTTGTAATCAGCTTCTCAGTGTGTGAAAGATGCAAAGGCTTTGAGGTGGACAGAACACCAGAATCACAACACTCAATAGATGCGGGATCTAATAGTCATGGAAGACAGAGTGACGCGCAAGAATTGATATATCAAATAACGGTATCTTAATCAGTATCTTCTATACAACCAAAATCAACACTAATCCAACCACAACCAACAATATCACAAGTCAGAACTTAATACAAAGTATTAAGATCCCTTGTAGTGAGAGCGTCCGTCTAAATGGCAACGCAAAGCCCAAAATACCAAGTCAACGCACTGCCAACTAGTGAAACCAAAATGCCGCATTGATGCACTGCCAACTAACAGCCAAATCCAAAATCCAAAACCCAAGCACAACTTGTTGACACACTGCCAAGTGTGGAACCAAAGTTCTCAAGTTGATACACTGCCAACTGACCAAAACTACCTGAGCACAACTAGTTGACACACTGCCAAACTAGAGGTGTGGAATGATCTCAACAAAACCCAAAGTAGCAACACAAAGTGCTGCGACCAAACCAGAAGCGGTGAATCCAACTTTCTGATATCTCAACTCAAAACTCAAATCACAGTAGCTACAAGTGCTCAGGGAGCAACTCGTCGTGACCAGGCAGAGGTAATAGAACTTCTTAAGGCGGAATCATGCAACACGCAAATTGCACAAAACAATCTGATATGGGTATGATTCACAGTCTGGTGGAAAAGCTCCCCAATACAAAGAAACAACGCGCTACTGATACAGTCTACGACGGTGCTTAGTAAAGTCCTGTACAACTGCATAGTAGCTACGCTATCTAAGATTGGTTGCTTTTTATGGTAATGAAAAGTTGAACAATTGGACAGGTCCTGACTGATCAGGACCCTGCCCCATTGTCCATATGGTGCTTTTAATGTAGGACAACCCACTGCGTCATACTTTTGGAATACGGCACGTTGGATTGGCCAACTGGTATGTCTTGGCAAGTGTGTCAGGGGAACCCCTGCTTTGGACCAATCAGCCTGGGATCTGGCATGCGATCATGCTCATGTGACATGTCAGCTGTCATGTGCAGCAGCCCAGACCACCGCGCTGAGTGCTTCTCTTTGATAGCAGGTGGTGCCATTGTTCCTATGGTCTCTGATTCCTATTGTTCTGTTATGGCCATTGTACTTATTGTTCCTATTGTTCTTCTTTGTTGCTGCATGGACAATTGTTCCTGTATCATATAAATAGTGGCACCTGACAAGGAGAATCCCCAACACGGGTTCTTTTTGGATTCTCCCTTGCCAGGTATGCTGGTCTTGTACCTAGCTACCACATTTCTTCACCTTTGGATTATCCCTTGCCAGAACTCTGAGATTGGGTCTTGAGGTTTCCCTTACAAAGTGAGTCCAACGTGTGTGCTCAAAGAAACCATATGACCCTAAGCACACCAGGCATCGTTCACATGGTTTGGTTCATGGATCTAGCCTGTGTCCCTTTTGATGTGTTTGGGTATGGACACAACTCATCATAACACTTAGAAGTGTCACTGCAATGTGTCCACAATATTCCGTGATCAAGTAGAACATGGCCCATGACAAGTTGTCACTGTGGCATGATCCAAGGGAACATCCAAACCAAAGCTAGGAGTTGCCACACCAAGATTGGTTCAATCTTGTAACTCCAAGTCCTGTTCAGTGGTAGTTGTTATATTGAGCATGTCATGCATTGCTAAGCCCTCCAGCATAAGTTCCCATCTACAATCTACAGAGAATGACCCTTTCAAGGAGTTGCCATGACAAGAGTATTCCTTTTGAGGAATTGCTGTGACACAAGTGTCTGTTGCTACTAGCCCTGAGCCTGGTATAGACTGATAAGACGAATTCCACAGTGGTGGTCTAACTGCCTTGCCGTTGTCAACACTATCCACAGTTGTCGACTGGGCAGCAAACCCTTAATTCCTACTGAGCACAAGACTGGCACCCACAACATGATGCACCAAGTGGTTCAAGAGTAAGCTCTGTAAAAGCACAAAAATATGCCCTTATAGAGTTGGTGCAGAGCACACCTAGTAGCCAGCTTATTATTGTACGGTGGCAGGTCTCTGCCAGCTCAAGGAGAGATTGGTGCAAGGTGAGCTGTTGTATTGTCTGCACAGATGCACATGTTTTTTGGACTGGACAGATTTTGATGAGTCAACCTCTGTCATGGCAAATACCAGTGCCCATACATGCCCTCACTGTTAACATGTCTTCTACAGCCCAGTGTCATAGTTTGGCCACTTTTTCATCTTATCATCAACGATCTTATCTTATCTTGGCACGGGTTATCTTATCACAAATCACGACATACAACGGTCCGGGCTAGGGGTCCAGAGGATTATCTTTATTAATTCAAAGGCTGCATGACATATACTCTAGAAGGTTCTACTACAACCCATGACCAGCGCTCCATGCAGTACATAGCCTTATGAATCATTAGTTGTAGATATGACTCAAACTGGATTTTGGTATAAATACTGTAGCTACTTGGTTGTATTCTCCAGTCTTCAAATTCACTTCTCTTTTCGACTTCATTTTTTGGGTTGATTGTCACACCCAGGAGGCTACAAGATTCATCTGGATACATCACATTGAGCATTCACATTGGCCTCAGTGGGCAAGAATGAGCATATCTTTTGATAGACACTACCACCCAGTGCTTAATGGTCAGTTTCTGGTCTTTGATTGTTCTCTCAATCTCTGTATCTAAGTACTTGACTGTAACTCATCCTTGTGATGTCAATAGTTGGTCCTCCTTCCATTTTCCCCACCTCCACCATTGCCACTGCTACCTCATGACAGCCAAGACCTGTGTGCCTGGGGCTGTTTGACAATCACCATGATTTTGACTTTGCCCAGTTCCATTTTGTCACATGCTAGAACTTCAAAGCAAAGGTTGATGTGGCCCTTAATCTATGGGCTACCAGTTTGGTTGGTACAGACTATTCACCACCTTGGGTCAAGGTCAAAGATCTCTATAATACCATCGACTTCATTCAAAGTGGTGACCTCCCCTTCACAGCATATGAACTTGATTAAGTACATGGGCCCTCTTCCTCTCAACCCACCCACATGGATGACACAGACATAGGAGCATTGCATGCAAAACATCTGTGATATTCTGCACCAGCAACTTGCGTGCCATGACTTCAAGGGCCAGTTCAACTTCTTTTCCTATTGCAAGTTCAACAAAGATGGGCATTAAGTGTGGTTAAACTTCATGTTAGGTGATTGGGCCTACAAGGAAGCAGTGTATTCTTCTCTGCAAGTGAGGTGTGATACAGTAACTGAATATCTCTCTTTACTCTAGAACATCATTACACAAGATCCCAAAACCACACAAAGCTAGGCTTGTTGTTGCTATTAGTGGAAGTGACAAGACAACAGTTTCTGTTGCCACTCTCACCCGCATTACATAACAGCTGGGGAGATGTCTGGAACTGCTCGTTGAACGCATAGGCAGGGTGTCAAATGTGTTCCTTTCCATTCCAAAGGGTATGAATTGTTCTCTGCTCTTGCTGTCATTCTAATGTGACTGCAGTCAGCAAGACAGAACACAGCAAACCCAAATTCCAAACATTTTTTTAGCAGCTGTATCATGCTAGCCTTGCCCTTCTCTACTGCTCATTGAAGTTGTACATAATAACATACAACATTGTTTGTTGCCCAGACAGCCATCATCAATGCATTATCTATAGCATCAAGCCGTATATTGCTGACTATCTCTAGCAGGTGTGGTTGGCAGCAATTATGCAGAGTTGGTGTCCCAAGTACGTACTTGTTCTCAATGCTTTTCTTGTGACTTACAGCTGTCCCAGATGTGATGTGGAACCCAATAACCTGGATGGTGAAGGGGCTTGGCTACGTACTCAGACCAAGACTGAGGCCTTGATCATGTGTTTCAATCCTGGGATCCTTTGGACTGACTATGGAACTCGTGCTAATGTTGTGGTACATCTGTAGCATGCTGCTATTGTCCTCTATCTGACACATGCCTAGCCTTTCACCAACAAATTCCTGCAAGCAGACATCCATGAGATCCTCAGTTTGGACCTCTTACACCAGGTTTTCAAAGGAACGTTCAAGGATCACGTTGTCACCTGGATTGTGGAATATCTGGTGATAGCACACGTAGTGAAACCAGGGCAGGGAATCATTGGAGCGATATCCCGCTCCACCTATGCCTGCAGTTTACATAGAACATTTGAGTCTTCCATTTGGGCGAAGCGTAGCACAGTTTTCGCACCCAGTGATCTGTGCAATGCCAGCAGAATGTATTGTGAGGGATTTGAATAGCCCCCAAGTGGCATGGACATGGCCGCTCCAACACCATGCTTGTAAATGTCAGTGACAATGTAATGGGCAGACTAAATATTGCGCGCGTGTGACTACTCTTCAGCTTCACATTCCAGGACATGGACTATCAATGCGCTCTCATAAATTGGAATGTGCCTGTCAGTCAGGCGCCGGATCTGGACACAGGAATGTGGGCTGTTGAACCTGAGAGACAGCAGGGGACTCCAACATTCTCCATTATCCACTTGAATGCTGTAGCCTGGGCCACACAATTACTACCTGTATATGGGAGGAATCTGATGCCCAAACACTTTCACTACACAGACTCTTTAAAGGCATTTAATCTTTATTACATCAATAAGTATGTGGACCATTGTATGCACAAATTCTTATCTAGTATTATAGAATAATCTTTTGTCCTTGTGACTGTTATATTTGAATGTCATCTACTTGATGACTTGTTGCTTGTTCAAACTTGAGCACTTGTGGACAAGTCGCAAAGCCTGGAAGGCCCTGCTCTCAACTGAGACAGTTGACGTTGATGGCAAGTGATATGATCTAAGACCCTAGACTTTATGTATGTACATATTATTACATGAGTAGCTGAGCCCTGTCGGAGATGCGCACAGGACCTGTAAAAATAGCCTCAAATGTAAGCCCCCAGTTGGACAATCTTTGGTCAGGGAAAGTTGATAAACTAAGCCCAAATTTTAGGGGGTTGGTCAAAACTTGACTCTGGACAAGAATAGTTAGGTCATGGGATTTGACTGAATTTGGATGTATTGGGTCTGGAATTGGGCAGGGTACCAGAAGAAACCCTGGTAAGACGCATCACTCATTGAATCTTGACAATACCTAGCTATATCTAGCACCCCAGGGACCTCCAATTGTTACGTAAAATGGCTTCGAGGCCCCCTCCGGAGGCCATCAAACCACCCCCTACCCCCCCTGATCGGAGGCCATCCTGGAGGCGCCTTCCTAATTGGTACTCTGCCCAGCCATTCATCCACAGCCAGCATGGTCGGCTAGGCATTGACCCGAGTGTTCATATATGCTGTAGTAGTCAGTATAAAGCCTCAGACAATGTCTTAGCTCACAAAAGCTTGTATTTCTTGCTTGCAAATGGTAGACCACTGGGCGCACAAAATTCGGGATTTGAGCACATGAGCACTCCTCAGGTGCATAGAGCGGCAGTATATATGTTAATTCGAGATTGAGCATGAGGTAGCTGTGCCCACACGCAAAAATGAGATGTTGCTGAAGGGGTGGTTTATGGCCTCCACAACCTCCCAGGGGCAGAAAAAAAGGTGTTGGGTAGCCCACAGGCCCTTGAATTCTGCTACAATAGATCAATTTGATGCTTATGCTTTGTCGAAACAACAGCCCAGCATGTAAATTGGATGCTGGAGCAGTGGCAGAACAAGCCTCCACCGCCTCCAGGGCTGGGGACCAAAAGCGGTTATTGTAGATTCAGCCACATAAACCATATTTCTGATGTTGTTTGTCCTAGTCAGAATTTCTGGGTATTCCAGAGAGACAGGTGGCTACATAGATCAGATGCTAGCACTAATAGCAGAACCGGCCTCCATGGCCTCCACAGCCAGTGACCAAAAGTGGTTTTTTGGGTTCAGCCACATAAACCATGTCCATGATGTTGAAGGTCTTCATTATAATTATGAGGGTCCTTTAGTTAAATGTCTCACTACATGAATCAGATGCTGGAGCAAATGGCAGAACTGGCCTCCGCTGCCTCCACAGGTTATCACTTGAAGAGTCTGAATGAGATGACAATGTAAGAGATATATATTCTCCTGGCTGACCGCATTCTGTCATTTCCACCTCTACATGCTAGTTTAATTGCTGCAGAATGTTAAAATTAGAGGATGGGAGACCCTGGAGGCACTGGAGGCACATGCAAGATCCAATCAATGTCATCAATATCATCAGTGCCATCAATAGCATCAAGAGCATCACCGATCATTGGTAGATTGATCAGCCAATCAGATGATGAATAAACATCGAACATCTAGTATGTTCATTCCTGAGAGACACAGACTACATGTATGCTCATACTGAAAGTGGATTAGTGGTCCCAGGACATGCCCCAATGACATATTGCATGCTTGTCTCAGGGACATATGATTAAAAATCGGAGTTGGCAAATGAGCTGAAAGTACTCCGCACAGCGGAGGATCGCAGAGTTGATGCCGCCGGTGAAGCCAGTCGGACCGGTGTTCGGGTTGGCGCGGATCCAGTAGTTGTCGACCGCTTGGTCGGCAGTCATGATGAACGAGTACCGTTGGGCTGGAAGAACCAAGTCAGTGGGTGTTTGCCGCGGCGGACGACCGCACGGAGGCTCGCGCTCGCGGCTGCTCACCGGCGTAGATCTGGATCGAGTCGACGCTCAACGGCTCGTGCAGGACACCGTCGGCCTCGATGATGGTCAGGTTCGTGTGGCCGTCGATCTGGAACACGTAGTTGGAGTCGCAGCCGATGTTGACCAGGCGGAACCGGTAGCGCAAGCCTTGGGTGACGTTGATCACGGCCAGCGTCGTGTTCGCGGTGGTCGCCGCGGTACGTCCGAGACCGTTGATGAGCATCGAAGAGGGCGTGCTGCGCAGGTTGAACGCATCAGAGACAGACTGATCGCATCCTTCAGAGCAGCTACCACTCACGCAACACCGGCCACGGTCTCAGCAAAGACGTTGTACCAGTCGGCGAGAGTGATGACGGTCGACTCGTCGTCGACGTCGTACTCGGAGATGTAGGCGTCGGCCGGGTCGTAGATGACCATCGCGCCACGCAGACCGTCGCAGTACTGGGTGGCGAGATGAGAGTGATACCAGAACGTTCTGTTCGATTTTCATTGAGAGCTGCGTTTGCTAGTTCAGAGAATTGCACGTACCCTGATTGCGTGCTGGTAAAGTCGTATGTGAACGAGTTTCCGGGGGAGATCGGGCACTGGTTGATGAACGCAGGTCCGTCCATGAAGTTGGTTCCGTTCTGGAACAGTCCATGCCAGTGCTGCGAAGGAGGGAGGAGAAACGGAAACCAATCAGGGATGCCCAACAAGGCGAGCGTTGGCTGAGGCTCACAATCGACGTCGGCTCGAGCATGCGGTTGTCCTGCTGCTGGTCGACGACCGTCAGCTGGAAGTTGTCGCCGATGTTTCCGGTGACGAGCGTTCCAGGGAACGTGCCTCCGGCCAGGACGGCTGCGCGGGGCAGACCGTCGGGCGAGATTGTTGCGTTGGCCACCACCAGGGAGCCAACTGGCCCAACCGTCGCGGCGGAGACGATCCGCGCTGCCGCAGCGAGAGCAAGGAGGGTGCGGGACGAGGACGAGGAGAACATGAGTGCGATCGGGTCTGTGAGCCAAGGAGATCCTGGTACTACCGGTGCCGTGCTTTCCAGCTGAGTGGCCTGAGTTCATTTATACGCTTTCAGCGGAGAGAGACGATCAATGTTAATCATCCACACGGTTTCCCAATCGGGAAACCCACGCGCACCTTGTCAGTCCGAATTCGGGATGAGCGCCCGGACGGAGTTGAGTGGCTGGACGACAATGACTAAGAGGCTTGTCGCAGAGACGACCCAGGAACCTGCGAGCTGCCGGAGGGAGGAACATTCTCCCGTAACAGACTTGTGATGCGATTTGACCATCAAAGCACGGAACGTCGCAGACGTTACCAAACCTGCGCCTTGATTGGGATTGGACAGCGTTCGGGACCGAGCTTACAGCCGCCGTCGGGCCGGGTGTTCACTCTGCCGTTTCACTGTTGGACTGGGACTGCTGCGGCTCTGCCTCACGATTTCCGAGACCACATCTGTTCTCCATCACCCACCAGATTTCTGTTCGAAGCAGCAGCAACGCATATGCGGTGGAATTCCATCTCCTCGTCGAGATGGCAGACAACTCCTTGCCGTATTTGCCCGCTGCCGCTTGCCACCTCTTGCGCAGCTTTTCTTGGATTACGACTCGGTATCAGTCAACGCAGACATTGTCGATCGCACACGTCCTCGAAATCTTTATCCGCCATCGCCTGGAAGTATTCAACCGGGTGAGCTACCAGAACTGGTCGAACTCGCACATGGGATCTCGAGTGTGCCTCTCCCAGTGCAGTGGAACCGGCCAGTCAGCAGCGCTGTCAGTTTCCGTCACCGTAAGACGCCGGTCGCTCCTGGGAAATAAACATATTTGACTCAGCGCCAGTTCTGCTGTCCGATCGAAATGACAGGCGATCAGATCTGATGTCTGCCACGAGGTATTTTCGACGGAGATCTTCTTTCCCGGACGATTGCCATCGGACGGAATCCGGGGAAGCCGACGATCGCGTTCCTCATGGTTCCTAAACCGGATACGGCCGGAGGTCGCTGAAGTAGCTCGGTACAGGGATCTACAACAGAAGCTGATCAGAGACATGTGCACCGTCCACCAATTCGACGATTTTCGTCATTGCGCGCGGACGTGTTAGGATGGAAACTGAGAGACAGGACGGATCAGAAGAAGTTGAGCGCAATGGTTGGCGGATTTGTTGCCGCGGCCAAGGCTCATCGCTGAACGACATGCCACAGCGAGTCTCAAGGGCAACCATATCGCATCGGCGCTGTTATGATACTCTAAGCAGCGCTCACACCGCGGAGAGTTCGGGCCAGACTTGTCCCATCGCGTGGTTCAGGACTTGTAACGGAGTTCCTCCGGTGTTTCACTGCGTAAGTGACGGCGACGTAAGCATCTACTGGCGGAGGTTCTGCCCTCACGCAATCGGTGTGAAGCTATGTCGTCTCGAGTGGGTAGGACTCCGGTCTCGGTCGGATCGCGATACACGAATGTTTCAGTGGGTGTTTGTGAAACAGCGAGGGTTTAGTGCCCTTTTGCTCCGATTCCATTCTCATAGCATAGATAAGGTTTCATTCCGCGATGACACTGAATTCAGTTACCGTGCGCGAGCCGGGTACAGACCTACGTTACGCTATCTTATCTTGGAAGAACTCATCATGATCAGTCGACTGTCACGAATGATCATCCAAGTCTCTATTGCTTGGACTGTCAGACTCCGTCGGCGCTAGAGTGTGAAAGAAGGGCGTCCTCATTCACTCCTTCATCCTGTCTGGTACGATACTGGATGCTATGCAGCGGCCCACAGTTGACCCCAGTCATCTGGCATGAACAGAGAAGTCCGCAGCATCAGAAGCTTTCACATGATCTTGGCTGACCATGGCTTCTCGCCGCTCAGAACGAGGGGGGAAATCAGGTGTCAAGGCGTGCATGGATGCCGCAGCAAAGAACTAGATTTCATGTCGATACCGTTGATGTAGTGAACAAACGATACGCATTCGTACGACAGAGGGATCTAGCGATTCACGCTCCTCCAACCGGCGCCCTTTGTCCAGAGTCACACGATCTGGTTACTCCGCTTTCCATCGGTCTCAATGATGGAACTGGCTCCGAAAACTACGACACTAGATATCGACTATCCCGCAGTCAAGCGGCCCACGTTACAGGCGGAAATCGGAACTGAATAGCAAACATAACCGCCAAGATCAAAGTCAAACCGCCACTGATGCCGGCGGGAGAATCGTTCATGTCGAGTTCTATGGCCTAAGGGATATCGATGTAGCAAGTGGATAGACTCGCAGGTCAGATCAGGACCTGCGCACAGCCACATAAAGCTGATGAAACCTGATACTGGATTATAAATACACAATAATTAGTATACAGTCATTACAAGAGACGTGGGTACTTGGGAAATCGGGGGATGCACCACTCTGAGGAAGCGGCGCTGGCTATGGCTACATGATATACGGCAGAGCAGAAACCAGAAATCAGGGTCAAGATTATAAAAACAAGCAGGAGGAAGAACCCATGGACATCTGAGCAGATGGATCGTCGTGCGACTACTCGAACTCGTTTGCGTAGCTCGCTGCATATGCCATATCGACCGGTTTCGCAATCAACATTCCGATGTCGATCGACGGCCGCGCAGCGAAATGCAGTTCTCCTGAATCAGACGCAAACTCGAACGGGGGGTAATGCACCGGCTCAGGCGCAGGAGTAGGAGCAGCAGACTCTGGGTACTGCAGTTGCGGAGACAGCGATGAGGTCTGAGCAACTGGCGTCGGGGTCGAAGATTCCATGACAACAGGGTCTTGGACATCGTACACTTCAGGCGCGGGCGGCTCCGAGTACTGAGGCGCGGGCGGGTGGAATTCGACCGAGTTCAGCGGGGAGACAGGGTTCATCGGCTGGGGTGCGTGCAGCACGGACGCCTGTTGTACTTCGAAGTTCGCCATCGCCAGCTCGGAAACCGGCGCTCCACCAAAGGTGTTCAGGAAACCCGGGTGGAAAAGCGACGTGTCCGCATCCGGAAGCTCCTCCGGCAGCTGCTGCTCATACTCTGCAGCGTCGCTGCCGCAAGTGTTGAACTTGAACGACGTCGGGGAGAAGAACGCCTGCGCACTGCTTGCCCGGCGGCCGATCGGATCAAAAGTGTTCGCAGCGTAACCGGTTCCACCAGCAGCATACCACGTCGACGAATACGAGTTGCGGAACCCGAAGCTGAAGCTCGGTCGCATGTAACCAGTCGACCCCATCGAACCCCACGATAACGACATCCGCTGTGAACCCGCGCTGATGCCGATCGCAGCACCCGACAACGAATCTTCCGCAGCGGTCGGCGGCGGGGGCAGCATCCACGAACCGACGTTGGTGTGGTCGATGGGGAAATGAATGGGAGGAAGCGTCAGCGCATTGGAATTGACGCTCATGGTCGCTTCATCGTGTCCGTAAAATGGTCCATAGTGGCATTCGGTCGGCAGCGGTACACTAGAGCTCCGACGGTGTCTCCAACGATCAGAGGAATCGAGCTGCTGCTGCTGCTGGTACAGGGGCATAGGCAGCGGCATCTGATACGGAGATCCCGCGGTCAACGTCGAAGACGGTGGGGAGCTCACATCCCGGGAGAGATAAAAAGCGCCAGGATCCAAGTTGAGCGGGTGCGGATACTTGGGCATCGACATCGGCACATCCGTACCATATCCATCGGGAATGTTGGGGTTGTACAAAAGTTCGGGACCAGGAGACGGCGAGTCTGTGAACGCCCGGTCGGTGGCAGTCTCGCTCTTGGACAGCGCGTATTCGGCGCGTCGGCGCACATCGAGTTCATTCACCGCGTCAGTGAGCTCGTCGCCTTTCTTCCCCTGCAGCAACAGCGATGCGATATCCTCCGATCGCTTCTCCTCCATCTCGTGCTTGATCGTCCGCGCGGCGTTGTAATCGCTGTTGGAGTACGAGCCGATGGGCGCGCGCGCTTTGCCGTGGACGGGTCGGAACTTGTAGTCGGGGTACATGATCTTGTGTTCCGCCTTGGCGTCCTTCGCCTTCTTCTCCCATGTGGCCTTCTCGCGCAGAGACAGCGAGCGCCAGACGGTGCCTGATGACAGAGAGAACGGTCAGCCATCGTCAATCACAGACACTGCGAGGACGCTCATACCGATGATCTTGCTGAGACTGCTGTGCGTGGCTTCTAGGCTGCCAGGGATATGCCTCGATCTCACAAAGTTCGCACGGAACAGCATGAATGCGTTGGGTGGGCGAGGAATGTACCCCAGACTTCGCCTCTTGCCAGGTGCAACCCGTTTCCTCCTTGGTGCCGGCGCAGGCTGATTGCTCGGCGGGAACAGCGGGGCAGTGACGTCCGTGTCCCCTGGGCGTGGCAGATCGTCGCACGAGGAATCATCGGGGGACGGGGCGTTGTACGTAATCGGCGTCACATTGGGCGCGAAGGTCACCGTCGCCTGGTTGGAGGGTGTCAAGGATGAAGACGAAGCACTGGCCGCGTCGGGGAGGATAGTAGATGGGGCGGTGGGAGCAGCATAACCGTACGTCCCGGGTTTGGCGACGACTATCATGTTGTGGTTAGCCTACAGAAGGACCGAGTAGCAGATGAGAGAGCGGGAGGGCGGAGATGACGGCGATGGGAAGGGCGCGAAAGACGGCAAAAAGAATAACCGAGACACGTACGCGGCGCGATTGAACTCCTCCTCCTCCCATAACCTCCACTGGTCCGGCGAGAAGCTGAGCGAAGGGCAGGCATAGCGCTCCTGGATGATTGAGAATCGACTGGGGCGTGGTGGAAGAGGGATCCCAAACGAGCGAACAATGGGGGCACGTTATCCTTTTCTATTGTTCGCCCTTATAAGGACAGGTGAAGCATCGGATGTTCCAAAGCTCGAAGCGAAGGGGAAAGGGTGGCCCCAAGGCAGGGACCCCGGGCACCAGCGCCCATCATCAGCGACATCATTCAGAAACATAGCATGTACAGAGCGGCATTGTGCTTTGTGAGCAGAGTAAAAGACATTCCTCGTACGCTCCGACAACTTCTCATACTCTGGAACCCACAGCACAGTCGTCTCCTTGACGCCCTGCAGAGCGAACCTCACCTGGACCCCAGCACGTGTTAGGTTCCACGGAATCTGATTTCTGACGCATAACCGCATTTGGACGTTTCTTTATTGCCAACGCAGTCCTTATCGGGATGTCCCCTTGTTCCCGCCCACGCGAGTCCAAGAGCTTGACACGCGGAGTGCAGAAGTGAAAAGTAAAATCCTCCCAGCTCGTCGTCGCTGCACCCAACGGTGCCGCAGAACGGTCGTACCCTACCAATCAACCGGCGTCAGGCTATGGATCTGGCACCCGTCGTCCCCTGGGACGCGGGTTAACAGACTGTCAAGCGTCCGGGAGTGATCAATTTCTCAGCCTTCCTCACCTCACGTGTCAAGAGACGTTTTTGGCTCCCGCCCTTGTTCCCGAAACTCACCAGTCCTTGTACTTTCCTTGCCACATGCGCCCTTTGCCGCTGCCCTCAAGATAATGATCGAGTTACATGGTCCTCAGCCATGTTCACTCTGACGACACTCTCGGCTCCCCCTCCTTGTGTTCTCCTGTTCTCAGGCGAGCTTCACTTTCCTGCCAGACGTCAGTTCGCAAGGGGCATGGACATGGCGTTTCCGGGAGCATCTCCTTTCAGTCTGATGCGTTCATAAGAAAGATCTGTTGATCTGGGCCTTGTGGTTATTGATCTCCAGTGGCAGCCACTTCTAGACCTCCTGGCCTCCGGTGAGTGTGGGAATCATCCTGGGAGGACAATTCACCTGTCTGCGCGTATCAGCTGAGATCTTCGACCGCCAGCTCGACCGAAAACTGGGAGAAATGTAGCAGTCTTGAGATATCGCGGCGATCCGCTGTGCACAAAGCAAGAGGAATCGTCCAGAGTGAGATCGTCGAGGGAAGCTGGACATCGTTGTCTTCAAGGCTGTTTATAAGCCGTCTTGAATACAAAAGCCCGAAAACAAGGGCCGCAGTACAAGGAGCAACTGGAGCAAAGTACAATAGACTTGGACCGTGATTTGATGGCACGAGGACGACGTTGTGCTCGAACAGGAGTCTTGCCGTGAGTTTGACGCAGCCTGTAATCTAATACGAGGCGGCCTTGTCTGCCTCGTTCGACCCTGACCGATGTGTGTTGGTCGGCGTTGTTGAAAGCTCAAACTCCCAGCAGCGGGTGCATTCGTTCGGCGCGTGTGTGTCTCTCATGTGACAGTATTTGTCCGATCCGCGTCGTGTTAATGCAAACCCCGCAGACCGAGAGAAGGATTCCGGAGCACTGAGATAAAGTCATCCTTGTTTCCGACTCCGACTCCAGCATTGATAGAGGAGCGCAAGCCGGGTGAATGGATTCGAAACTCGTGCGTGATGCACTGCCTGTAGCCAGAAATCACCCGAGGAACTATCCCAAATCGAGAGGAGAGCGCTCGAGCTCGTTCTGGATGGGAGAATGACTTGATTCTGGGGGATTTATGAGACAATATGACGGACTGCTGCTCTGCGAGGTCGGGCAATGAAATAGGATCGTTGATCTTAGACTGGGCTTGCGGTTATCGATCTTGAGAGGCGGCAATTCAAAACTTCCTGACCTCCGGGGAGTGGGAAACCATCCGGGAAAGACAAAGCACCTGTCTGCGCACATCAGCTGGAATCGTCGGCCGCTAGCTCGTGCGACTACTGAGAGACGTTACGGAAGAAGCTTCAGGTACTGCGGCAATCGCTTACGCACGAAGAAGGAGGATCGGACCAAGGAAAGATCAAGAAGGTGAGCTGAGCATCGTGGCCCGCAAGCCCGTTGACAGGCCTTCTTGAACACGAAAAGCGAGAACAACGGTCTGCACAACGCAGTGCAACATACACAATGAACTATGGGTCTGCCACATGATTTGATTGGGCGGGGTTGACATTATAGTCGAAGAGGAGTCTTGCCGAGATCTTGCAGCTTCTTATGATCCAATATTAAGCGGCCTTGACTCCCACATTTTTCTGGGCGCTGAGATGTAGGTCTGCATTAATTCAAGCTCGGTGAATGCATTAGAAACGTGCGTGATGCATTTCATGTAGCCAGATTTCAGTCAGGGTACCCTCCCAAACCGAGAGGAAAGCGCTCGAGTTGTTTCCTGAGCTCAGTGTAATATGAATGTGGACCGTTGACTCGAATATCAGGAAGTTCTTGAACCAGGCCATGCTGATATCAGGCTTCGACCCACCCATTTGCCGACGCGATCAAGCCGGGAAGGCTCAGCTCGTCCCGGATTTCCTTGCTCGGATTCCAAGTCCACATCGCCGAGAACACGAGGGCCATGAGAGGCGGTCGTTGGTCGCGGCTGCGATGTTGAGCTCGAGACTGGCAGAGGAGACGCTGGGTGTCGAATACATTGAGACGAGTGGCCCCGACACCGAGCCGCTGAAGAGTAACAGCGGCAATTTTGCTGAACGAGCGAGCAGTGTTCTGCATATGCTTCTGCGTAGTTCGTGTGTGAAAAGCAGAGCTCTTCGACCTGGCGCTGAGTCCGGATGGGCCGAGTTCAGTGTCCATCAACAAAGTCAAAGAAGCAGGGCCGAGCTACAACCGACTCAAATGCGCAGGGCCGCTTGGATATAGAGGCCGGGAAGATGGGGATCCCGAAAGTGACGGGTGAGACAGCAGTGAATTGGAGGATTCATAACCATCTCAGTTCGGAGACATCTACTTTGTCTCACCATGACACAGTTGGATTCCATATCTAAGTCAGTCACTAACGCTGTAGTGTCTTTAACCTGCAGTTGATGCCGAGTGAGCTGAGAAGGTTTTACCTGGGGGGAGTCACAAGGTTATGCCGGAGACCGCTTTGACACTCAAGACTGAGTGATTACCGGGGTTGTACGAGTTGAGGCATGGATTGATGGGGGTAAGAAGGCAGATAGTGTCATGGGCGTGGTTGTCGCGTGCGAAACGGTCCTCCGGAGCGGATAGTTCGAGAGAAGATAAAGCAGGTAAGTATCGCACCTGCAGCGCCGATCGCTCATCGCAGTTGCACCTTCCGACCGGATGTGGATAAGGTTTTAATCGTATCTCGAGTTTTATGGTCGGTCCAAGTCTGCCCCGGAAAACTGCAATCTCTCCACCCGATTGTTGAACAAGGGGCTGCGTTCGCAGGCGATGGTGCGCTTGCCGCCCATCGACTCGTGCTGTTGGATTGAATTTACGGGATCGAGCAGACATTTCTATACCAAGCGCACCGGCACGAGCACGAATACCCTCGCTTCAGGCACAACAGGAGCGCGGACAGCAACGCCGAACGTGGACCAGCATGATGCAGATCGACACACCGAATCTGTCCGCCAGGAGCCTTTTGAGCTCTCAACGCTTCTGTACTCACGATTGGATTATTCCGAGTACTGCAAACTTGCCATACGTAGATGCTTTCTCCTGAGAGACTCTACGGGTGAAGACTGAGCTGAGGAATGTTCCCACATCCCCGAGCAGATCATTAACGAGCGATTCCGGGATGCAACGGAGCAGAACGGTGGATCATTGACAGCCATCGTGTCACCGCACACCGCCGCCGGTTCTACGTTCAGTCAGCGGGTTTGACGGAGCAGCGGCTGTGCTGTGTGTTAGCGGCAGTTCGTCATCGGTTTGACATACCGCATGTGATCGATCGATCGACCGATTGTTAACAATCAGATCGGGCGTAGCGAGAATCGCGGTTCCTACCAGCAACCGACGGGGATGCGGCTGAAGCAGCTCATTGCTGGGATCTACAACAGAAGCTGATCCAGCGCATGTGCAAGTCTCAGAACTTCAACGGTTTCCGCCGAGGCTTGCAGACTCAACGGATTACCAAAACGAGCAGGGACGCCGAGACAACACGGATCCGAGGTCAACGCTGGGGCAGGGCGCGTTTTGAGCTGACCCGAGGATATTTTTGGGAATGAGTCCAGCTCAAAGGCCGGTCCTCATCTTTCGAAAGTGAGTTCTCGGTGCCGATTCGGATCGCCGATCCGAGATGTTGAGAGGGCGTGACGAGTGTCCGACGGCGAGAGTTTGGATCGCCGGCTGAATGCTGTTGGGGCACGTTTCGGCTATCAGGCCATGGGAAAGCCGCTGCTATTGCGTCAGTGCCGGCGAAACCAGCCCAATCCATGTTCACCAGTGGGTCCTCTCCGTCTCGCCTCTCGGATCGAGTCGCAGCTTTGACCTCGATCTGGGTCTGGGTGAATGATTCGGAAGCCAGGAGAGAAGGTTTCTTGATGCGATACACCGGTGAAAAAAAAGCGCAGGTGTTTGCGCAGTAACAGCTTCGGGCTGTCTGGGCGCGTTGAAACCGCATCACAAGTCTGTTACGGGAGAATGTTCCTCCCTCCGGCAGCTCGCAGGTTCCTGGGTCGTCTCTGCGACAAGCCTCTTAGTCATTGTCGTCCAGCCACTCAACTCCGTCCGGGCGCCCAACCCGAATTCGGACTGACAAGGTGCGCGTGGGTTTCCCGATTGGGAAACCGTGTGGATGATTAACATTGATCGTCTCTCTCCGCTGAAAGCGTATAAATGAACTCAGGCCACTCAGCTGGAAAGCACGGCACCGGTAGTACCAGGATCTCCTTGGCTCACAGACCCGATTGCACTCATGTTCTCCTCGTCCTCGTCCCGCACCCTCCTTGCTCTCGCTGCGGCAGCGCGGATCGTCTCCGCCGCGACGGTTGGGCCAGTTGGCTCCCTGGTGGTGGCCAACGCAACGATCTCGCCCGACGGTCTGCCCCGCGCAGCCGTCCTGGCCGGAGGCACGTTCCCTGGAACGCTCGTCACCGGAAACATCGGCGACAACTTCCAGCTGACGGTCGTCGACCAGCAGCAGGACAACCGCATGCTCGAGCCGACGTCGATTGTGAGCCTCAGCCAACGCTCGCCTTGTTGGGCATCCCTGATTGGTTTCCGTTTCTCCTCCCTCCTTCGCAGCACTGGCATGGACTGTTCCAGAACGGAACCAACTTCATGGACGGACCTGCGTTCATCAACCAGTGCCCGATCTCCCCCGGAAACTCGTTCACATACGACTTTACCAGCACGCAATCAGGGTACGTGCAATTCTCTGAACTAGCAAACGCAGCTCTCAATGAAAATCGAACAGAACGTTCTGGTATCACTCTCATCTCGCCACCCAGTACTGCGACGGTCTGCGTGGCGCGATGGTCATCTACGACCCGGCCGACGCCTACATCTCCGAGTACGACGTCGACGACGAGTCGACCGTCATCACTCTCGCCGACTGGTACAACGTCTTTGCTGAGACCGTGGCCGGTGTTGCGTGAGTGGTAGCTGCTCTGAAGGATGCGATCAGTCTGTCTCTGATGCGTTCAACCTGCGCAGCACGCCCTCTTCGATGCTCATCAACGGTCTCGGACGTACCGCGGCGACCACCGCGAACACGACGCTGGCCGTGATCAACGTCACCCAAGGCTTGCGCTACCGGTTCCGCCTGGTCAACATCGGCTGCGACTCCAACTACGTGTTCCAGATCGACGGCCACACGAACCTGACCATCATCGAGGCCGACGGTGTCCTGCACGAGCCGTTGAGCGTCGACTCGATCCAGATCTACGCCGGTGAGCAGCCGCGAGCGCGAGCCTCCGTGCGGTCGTCCGCCGCGGCAAACACCCACTGACTTGGTTCTTCCAGCCCAACGGTACTCGTTCATCATGACTGCCGACCAAGCGGTCGACAACTACTGGATCCGCGCCAACCCGAACACCGGTCCGACTGGCTTCACCGGCGGCATCAACTCTGCGATCCTCCGCTGTGCGTTAGGATCTATCAAAAGATAGCTATCTGCGATTCCTGACCATCCCTTCCTTCTTCCAGACAAAGGAGCCAACGCCTCGGAGCCGACCACGTCCCAAGACACGTCCACCAACGGGCTGGTCAACGAAGTGAACCTGCACCCGCTTGTGAACCCTGGCACTTCCGGCGGCGCGTTCAGCGGCGGAGCCGACGTGCAGCTCAACATGGCTCTGGCGTTTGATCTCGTGCGTCCATCGACCGGTCTTGTCTCTCCTCAGGGTCTGTCGCTCATCCTTTCTTTCTCAGACGACGTTCAAGTTCACGATCAACGGCGACGCGTTCGTTCCCCCCACGGTTCCCGTCCTGCTCCAGATCCTGTCCGGTGCACAGACCGCGCAGTCGCTGCTGCCCAACGGCTCGGTGTACTCGCTCCCGCACTTTGCGTCTGTCGAAATCACGCTCGCAGGAGGTGTGATCGGTGGTGGCGTCAGTCCTTGCTCCTTTATCCGTGTGGTCTCTGAGCTCACTCAATCCGTCCTCGAACAGCACCCGTTCCATTTGCACGGACACACCTTCGAGGTCATCCGTTCCGCCGGCAGCAGCACCTACAACTACGTCAACCCAGCCCGCCGCGACGTGGTGAACATCGGAACCACGGGCGACAACGTCACGATTCGGTTCTTCACGGACAACCGCGGACGTGAGTGTGCCGTTGTGTGACACGTTCGAGACCGTTCTGATTGTTGATTGATCTCACCAGCGTGGTTCCTCCACTGCCACATCGACTGGCACTTGGAAGCCGGGTTCGCGGTCGTGATGGCCGAGGATGTGGCCGACTGGCAGTCGGAGCTGATCCCGACTTCGGAGTGGAACCAGCTGTGCCCGACGTACAATGCGCTGCCGGCGTCGATCACGTCTCTCGCCGCCTGAGGGAGTCGCAGGCTGATGTCTATTTAATGCTATTTTGTCTATACTATGTCACGCATTATTATCAGAGAGGTGTTGTTCAGGAGCAAATAAATTATTCTTTGTCGCATGTGGTCTTTGCGCAGGCCCTGATACATCCTAGATTTTCACACACATTACGGTCATGAAAACCTCCACTCGTGTTCTTCTACCTCCACCGGCCAACGCGATCGAACATTGGGCCTCACGTGGTCACTGAGCAATTTTCGGTTTTGGACCCCTCCCCGCCTCACTCCTACCCCGTTACACCTTGAACTTTTGTGAGCAACAGAAAACCTTTTCCATTGACGACCAGCGTTGCAACAAGTCGAACATGACCCCACGTGTTATGTGACAGCTGACAGTGATCTGAAAGTCCGCCACGCAGCCATGTCCAAACATGGCACGCACCCCTCTGCTTGGACGAGTTCGACACGTTCCTGGTCCCTGACCTTCCCCGTCCTCGTTCTGGTTCATTCAATGGCCCACACAATCTCCATGCTCCCAATACCCCCATTTACCACGACCGAAGCCGCCTCTGCCCTTGACAACTAACATCCTTCGAACCCGCTCCACGCTGCCGGCCAATCGCCATCTACGATACCTGGTCGGTCGAGCTTTCCCGAACCTGCCACCGACTGGACTCCGCATTGCTTTCCTCACGTCCACTGCGCCCGCTGATCTCTTGCCATCGCTGTCTCGCGCCGAGACCTACGATTCTTATGCACACTGCCAACGTAGAAGCCGCTCCTTAGACTGAGAATGGAATCCAGGGCTCCAAAACAGCCGATGGTCCGGATATGCAGCTCTGGAACGCCTAGCATTACCTTCATGCAGCCGATATCATCGCTGCCCTATCATGTGCGAGCACTCGGAAGATGGAAAAACAGCCTCTGATGCACTGGGTCGATTCGGAAGCGTTACTCCAGACCGCTGAGGTGGAGCAGCCGACTCACCGTCGACACACTGTCACACAGCGAGTGTGGATGGATGCTGTGGAGCAGGTGCTCGGCATCGCCCTGTCGCACTTGCGCACGACGGCTTTCTCCCAGGATCCTGCTACCGATTGCACCTGTGGTAAGAGGGGTACCTCCCAGTCACATGCGAGACAGAACTCATCGTGTGCTAGGTGCAACCAAGGCTTCCACGTCTCGGACCGTGTTCCAATAGGTCTTATGCGTGAGCTGTTAGCTCTCTTCCTCCTTCCTGCAGCTGACCAGCGAGCCCAGGCACCGTGGGCACCGTTGGCACCGTCGTCCACCCGCTCTCTTTCCTCTCGAACGTCCCGGGCACAGTTTTCTTGCGAAGGGGGAGGTGAAGCCACCATGTCGCGTTCGACTGCTGGCCGATGCACACCGCCCATGTCGGGTAATCTGCATCGACAAGGCAGCGCCAGGAACATTCTCAGCCATGCGAATGAGCGAGCTCATCCATACGGGCTTTCGCTGCGCATCCTCCCTCGTCATCATTTGCGGATCCATTCGTAGCCGATGCCTCAGCGAGATCACGACATTCCAGCTCAGTGACCAGCTAGCTCATCGAGCGAGCGTAGAAATACGCTCCACAGGCTCCAGCCATCCACTGCACTGAGCCCAGTTGGACCGACACATTGATCTGAACTATCCTCCCGACCCCAGCTCGTTATGCTTCATCACCCGTAGATGGGATATGTGTACAAATGACCGAGCTGCGCACTACGAGGTCAGCGGCCGGGTATGACGCATCAACGCCTGAGGTTTGGTGATGGGAACACTGAGTGTAGACAACGATAGTGCAGTTGCTTGGGCGTCAATCAGAGCGCTGGAGGATGTCTGCGGAATGTTGGGATGGCTAGGGGTATCGCCAATAGACCTGGTCAGGAGGGTGAACGGTAGGATCGTCTGTGGATAGAAGCAAATATAAGGACAGCATGAGAGTTTCAAAGAGAATGAGGTGAATCATCGGGAAGAGTGATTGGCTTACCTGGGAGTTGAAGTGGCAGTTTGATTGTCGGTCTGAATTCCGACGCTCATATAAATCAAATGGTATCACTTGAATCATCGCTAGAAAGACCAGTTCGTGACCCATGACGTAAGATTCAAACGATCTAGTAAGATTCTTGCAGAGGTGGCCGGTCATATGACCTCAGCGATCATCTGCTCCGGGCCGGGCTGAGGCTTAACCGTTGTCTGCGAGAAACCGCCACCTGCCAGTGCGCCTGATCATTCAAGTTACAGCACAACCTCCTCTTACGACTGGACATCTTCCTATCTCGTTTCCAATCAAATGATTACGTGCACATGCTTGCTGGGTGATGTCCATGATGGCACAGTGCTCTTTATACACATCTATCTTTGTTCGCTGACGCATCCAAGAAAGCTGTTCTCAATTCAACGTTGTTATGGCTTGAGTTCGCCCCGACTACATACCCCGAGATATGTAAACTATCAAACTAGGGATCGGGACTGGACGTCATTATTGCACGACTCTATCTGCTAATAGCTGTTGTCGTCCCTGATTTCGGCAGACAGGACACTGAAAGATCGAGCACTGGTGCTTGCCCTAGCGTGAATCACACACTTTCTCCCCAGCACTTATAAATCTCCGTGTTTCTCGCCTGAATCGGACGAAGATTCCCAATCAACAGAGATCGAAGCTGCAAGGCGGATCCAAAGACTGTTTGTGATCCACTGGCAACGGGCTGTGCGTGATCCCAGTGCAATGCCCGCCCATGTTCGGAAAAATCTAGTTAGGACTCATTCACACTTCTGCTTAGCGATCAATCATCTAATGGTTTGGAACAGTCAATGCTCTACAGATGAGACCGGGACATCACGGATCTTGACACTTGACGCAGAAGGTGAGAACATCGACCGACCTTCTACATTCAGCTGCTTTGTTCCCTTTGGCTATCTCTAGACCCCTCTGATTTTTCTGCGCGCTTAAACGGGGATTAAAGTGCATTTCTCGTTGTTTACATGGCCATTTTTACGTGCAAGCCGGCTGGTCCTGAAATCTCCCAGATCTTATGTGAGCGAATTTCAAGTCGCTTCTGTCTGGATCCGCTCTGAATCTTCTTGATCTATTTTCTATCTAGCTGTTCCACAGATGGTATATCCTATGGAGTCGCAGCAACTAACAAATTTTGTTTTGTGATGTGATTATATGATCAACAGGACAGCCTAAGATCATACACTGATCTGCAGCGGATTCCCAGTTGGTTTCTAAGCAGAGTTCCTCGAGCGCTTCTCACACTCAGAGTATGAATATGGGGACGGAAGGTGCGGGATTTCGACGTAGACCCCGTTGCAGGTCTGCGCAGTCGTGCCAGGTTTCAAAGCCATCCTGCACCTCCACGAGAGTGGGCACTCGCTCTCATGCAGTCTTTCCGCCGCACCTTCAATGTGGAGAACAACGCTCTCCGGTCCAACCACCCGTACGCTCTCCGCCCCGGTCAGACAACGCAAACTCTGCTCTTCTTCGAGTTCCGTTCGTACGGGCCGCCGACGTCAGACTTTGGGCGACCCGGCGACGTCTATATCGATCTCTCCCCGACTCGGCATGCGTTGTACTGGCGCGAGCGGAATGTTGATCAAGGGATGGGTGCCGGGGACTGGTGCTGCTGGAGCGGGATTACCTGCGACCCGCAGATGCAGGCGCGTCATCCGTGGGTGCGCAGCAGCGGCGACGTCTACCTCTCGGTCGATCTCGACGGTGTTCATTGGGCTTCGATCGAGGAGATTTCCGCGAGTCGGATGCGAATGGGATTGCCGCTCGCCCCACGGGGAGGCCTGGACCCCCGTTCAATGACTGCGGAGGTGCTGGGAAGGATGCTGACACAAGAGCAGCAGCGGAGATCAACAGTCTCCCCGACACTCACAAGCCCGCACGTGCTTTCTCCCCTTTTGCATCACCGCGCGGGGACACCAGCGCCACTCTCGGCTGTCGCCAACTCCGGCGGACCCTTAGTCAGCGCACACGACAAAAAGCGGCGCCGAGCGAGTATGGGCGTCCCACCGTCGTCAATGAATTCGAGTGCTAGTTCGACGGCCTCATTTGGAGGACCTCTCGTTCATTCTCCTTCTTCTTCTTCGACCGCTCTACTCAGCCAACCACACCCTTTCTATGGCCTGCCCCGCGGCATGCCTGAGGCGCCTCCCGTTCTCTCGCCGGATAATCCGATCATCTATGCAGGTGCGCGTGTGCTTCAGCTATTCGTCATTCGACTGGCTTCCCCGGCGCTCAATCGGTACCGCAGACTTGCCGCAATCAGAACGTGTCCGAGCAGCTCATCTGGGTCGGTGGTTCTTGATACTGAATCAATGAAACACCAAATGACAACGATGATCAGCGCTCGACCGCATGCGTTTTGCGCAGGACGCGGAGATGAATGCTAAACACGGTAAGAGAATACTTCGTGATCCTTTCACGTTAGAAACTGAACCACATCCGATAGCTCTGAAAGAGAAGAATGGGGAGCTGGCACAAGGTGCGTCTGCCGATGTCGAATAGCGAGTTTCGTGGATGGTTCTCACTTCGATTCGACTAAAATGCAGCTCGTCAACGAGAGAAAGACATAATCAGCAGTACGCAGCGGAAACCCTATCTAATCTCTGCAGATGCTTATCCCCCCCAAGTCTCGTATCACTATCAAAAACGAGAACGCGAGCTCGTCGCGGGTGGGTCTTCCGATGTTGGAACCTCACATCATCTCAGCCCTTACAGCTCTCGCCGCCGCCGAACAAAGATCCTCGGCCGGCCTCGAGGAACTGAGAAGCTGTCCGTCCTCATCTTTACCCACCGTCGTTCCGTTCTCTGACACATGATGCATAGCGGCCCAGTCAATGAAACAGCAAGCCGATGCGGCCCGCGAACAAACGAACCATGCTGGTGAGGCCTGTCATAAGACAGAGATAAAATTTCTTGTGGACTGATGTCATCAAGTTCTGCAAGTACAACAGTCCCAAGCAGGTCTGTGATTATCCTCTTTCCATTTTGGTGCAATTTCCGAACGATCATTTGACGAATTTGCTTGATCAGAACTCGAAGCCGCGCAAAGAGAGCTGCGCGAACTTCAGCGAAGTGAGTACCCAACCTGGGAAGCGCTTGGGAAGCCCTGCTGATGGCAATCAGGACCATTTGAAGAATAGCTGGAACCCAGTTGAAGATACTGTTTCGCCCCATTGACATTGTATTTGTAAAACAGAGCCAGAATTCCTTGTATACGACTCTCGGACTCGTGTTGTAGGACACTTAGTCATTCTTTCCATTGCTATTTTATACAACCGCGTGAAATCCCATCAGGACTTGTATCAGCGCTGAGTCGCGACCCCTGACATGCCAGTAGTCAGCTCGACGGATAAGATGGGCATCCAGAAAGCAGGTATTCCCAACTTGAAACACTGCTCTAGAGCACTGCTGAGCCCCACCCAAAAGTCCACCAGATTGAGCACTTGAGGTAGAAGGTGTCAGCTACGCCTTGGACACCCTGATTGTGCCTTATTAGTGGTTTGGGTCAATGTGAGGGCCCATGTCGAGGTTTGTGGGCACCCCAGATGCCACCGCCATCATTGCATAACAGATCCCGTGGGTACCTACTGGGTACCCATCACCTAAGGAACATCTGCCACAGAGGGTACCCCCCCCTCCTAGGGGGGTAAATTGAACCATTTTGACCCCCTAATAGGGGGGTTACCCTCTGGACTTTTGGCCATCCTCTGCACCAAAGCTCCGCAAATGGGTGCCAAGCATCCACATCCTGCCCTATAAGCAGCTGCAGATCCCTCTGCAACTTGCCCTAAACAAGCTGCGGATCCATCTGCACCCAGCTGTCCCTGTGATTACTGTGATGCCATCATACAGGTTGTCTGCGGTCTGTATCCTGTGACTCTGATCCAGTGAGGAGCCCTCCACATTTCTTGTTCTTTCATTATTTCATTTATGTAAGGGCAACTCCTGCCAGCCCGAAGGAAGAGAGCACACAGCACACAACAACCTCACATGAGTCTGAGCACAGAGGGGGATCCTTAGAGACTATCAAATACAAGGGAGGTATACTACTCACCTGAGCACAGAGGGGGATCCTTAGAGAACGGTTCAAGGATCCATGTGCCCAGGTGTCACACTATATAGTCATCTGTGACAAGTGACTGATGATGATGGGAGATCACTGCCATGGAACAATGGCAGATGACAAGTAGATAATGACAAACCCAGATAAGATAGTGAGTGGCTCAGAGGGGCCAGTGACGGCCAGCTCCTGAGACACCAACAGTGGAAGGCCACACTGGAGGAGCCCAGTGGCCAGGCCAGTGCCGGGCCAGCCAGTGGAGGCATTGGAGGCGAGGACCAATGCCCGACTGGGAAGAGGGGTGGTGCGGATGAGCGCAAGGGCATCTGGTACGAGCCTGTACGGCAGTAGACCACATCCGCGGGGAGAAGGCCGAAGTAGAGGGGGAGGAGTGCGTACGGCAGTAGCACTCCCTGGTGCAAGGAATCGGGCTTGGCTAGACCGCTTGCGGGGATTCGAGGGAGATGGCCAGGGGAAGGAGGAAGAGGGCGGATGTCGGCATGGATGGAGATGAGGATCGGAGGAGGAGGAGGAGGCGGGGTGATCAACAGGTGAGAAGGCACGGGTCGGCAGAGAGGGCGCAGTGGGTCACGTGCATGGTCACGTGCCCAAGGAGCACAGCGTCCCCTGACAATTTATAGCCTCTATGCATTGCTTCACTGCAGACTTGAGCCTTCTGTAGCAGATGTATGTGCTTCCAAATGATCCCAGCTCCTTCAAGCTCCTCTGTATGCAGCAAACAATGAATGGCAGTTGAACCAATTCAGTGCTTGGGCTGTGCGGTGTCATAGTTTGGCCACTTTTTCACCTTATCTTCGACAATCTTATCTTATCTTGGCACGGATTATCTTATCACGGATCACAGCATCAGACGGCCCGGGTCAGGGGTTCCAGGGATTATCTTTATCGATTCAAGGCTGCGCAACATATGCTCCGGAAGATTCTACTACAACCCATGACCAGTGCTCCATGCAGTACGTAGTCTTATGACTCATTAGTTGTGACAATCAACCCAAAAATGAAGTCGAAAAGAGGAGTGAATTCGAAGACTGGAGAATACAACCAAGTAGCTACAGTATTTATACCCAAGTCCAGTCTGAGTCATAAGGCTATGTACCGCATGGAACATTGGTCATGGGTTGTAATAGAACCTTCCGGAGCATATGTCGCGCAGCCTTGAATCGATAAGGATAATCCCTCGAACCCCTAGCCCGGGCCGTCTGATGCCGTGATCCGTGATAAGATAAGCCGTGCCGAGATAAGATAAGATCGTCGAAGATAAGATGAAAAAGTGGCCGAACTATGACATTAGTTGTAGATATGACTCAGACTGGATATGGGTATAAATACTGTAGCTACTTGGTTGTATTCTCCAGTCTTGGAATTCACTTCTCTTTTCGACATTATTTCTTGTTGATTGTCACATAATTCCAAGACTCCCCTCATACCCTCGTACCTCCTACCTCCTACCCTGCTCCCTGCACCGCTACGCCCGCTATATCCTCTTCACCTTTATCATCCCACTCACCCTTTTACCGAATCATCTAGTCGCTCGCTGCAATCGCAGTGAAAGGTTCATATCGAGCAAACAGCACCAGGCCACGGGTAACGTTAAGCCCGACCCAAGCCTTACAGTAGCTACAAGGAGTGCTGCGGAGACCTTTGGGAAAACGCACCTCGGGATCATCGGGCACGTGAAGAGCTAGGCCCGGGATCTTTTTGCTAGCAAAAGAACCTTTCCTCGAGTGCTTGTACAGCACACGAATCCACCATTTCGTACCGATTCCCATCGTCATCTGGGAGTCCATCCCCTCCCCCATCATACCATCGTCGCCTGATCTGGCGCATCAAAACCAACCCGGACCCTCCAACCCCTACCTCGCCCTTCCGCCGCCTGAAGACGAGTTCCCCGACCTTGACGAGTTGCCCTCCGAACAACCACCCTCGCCCCCACCTACCACACCTGCTCCTACCATGTCAGGACATCACCGCATCACCCTTGCCGCCAATCCCCCCTACTTCGATGGCAACAAGTCCAAATACCTGGGCTTTGTGGATGCGTGCACCACTTACATTGGTGCCTATCGGTCAGAGTTCTCGCTGGACGAGACGAAAATCCTCTTCGTCCTGTCCTACCTCCGCAATGAGAGCGGCACAAGCTGCGCCGCCTCAAGATGGGCGATGAACTGGAAGCAGCACAATTTCGAGGGCTTCCAAGGACTAAAGGCGGGGGTCACCGCGACAAGCTTCTTGGAGGAGCTTCAGAGGGCCTTTGGGGATTCTAACGCAGAGCAAGTCGCTGCTGCCCGACTCATGGCCCTTCGCCAGGGCAGACAGTCCTTTGCGGACTACATCTCCGACTTCGAAATGCTGGCTGCAGACGCGGGGTACAACGTGGTCACCTCCACCGACAGCAAGGGCGAGTACAAGAAGGGGGAACAGGACAATATCCTCATCGAGTTCCTGGAGCGCGGACTCAGCAGCGAAATTGCAAGCCGCCTCTACAACACCGGCGTCCCCCTGCCCAAGGCATATGGTGCCTTCAAGAACTGGTGTGTCAACATCGAGGCGAATGCTCTACGCGATCAGCTGCGCAAAGCATCGCATGCGCAATCCGCACCACGACCGCCCCCCCAATTCCGCCCGCAGGTAGCCCCAATGACACCTGCACCGGCCCCGGCCCGACCCGCTGCCAACGAACCGGTTCCGATGGAAATCGATTGCACCCACGCCCGTGGCCGCAATATCATCTGCTACAACTGTCAGCAGCCTGGGCACATTGCGCGGAACTGTCCGGAGCCAAGGAAGAAGCGCACGTTCTTCAATCGGGCCATGATGCTGGAAGAAATCGAGAACAGGGACAAGGACAACGAGTTCCTCAAGGAGATCGCTGAGAAGCTGCGCGAGAAGGGTTTTTGAAGCGCTCCACTCCTCTAGCCAAGGAGGTGGAGCGTCCGGACTATGGACGTTTTTCTATACTTGTTTCGATTAGAGATATGAACGATTCTCATGCATACACGATCTCAGACTCCCTACGTACTAATATTCATGATTTTCTTGTTGCTGATATGGAAAAGGAACGTCAAAAGAAAATAGCTTTAAATAGAGAGTATTTACAAAGTAAAAAGGATCAGAAAGCTGCGGATAAATTAATTTTGGACTCCTACGTATTTATGGCTCGTGGAGAAGGAACCACGTCAACAAAGACTGAAAAGGGGAGCACCGCTCCGGAGGCTCAATCCTTGAAATAGGAGGAAGCGCCCAAGGAATCTGCCGAAATCAGGGTTCCAGAAACACCCAAACGCACGAGGGTGCCAGATGCCGTTCAAAGGAAATGGGCAGCCGAGAGGCAGAAGGGCCCGCAACCCAGCAGACTGGCGCAGGAACTGCGCAACTACCAGGCCAAAAGGAAGAGACATTCGATGGATGTGTATGTACAGATCACGGGCCTGGACTCAGGAAAGACGCGCGGAGTCAAGGCGCTACTCGACAGTGGCTGTAGCACCTGCTGCATTGATACCGACTACGCGCGGGCAGAGAAGCTGGATATCCAAGAGCTTCCCCAACCCATTGTGGATCGTAACGCCGACAACACTGAGAACATCAGCGGCCGGATCACAAATTACGTCAACTTGAGGATGAGAATCGGTCCTCATGTGGAGACACGCGCGTTCCTCCTGACATGTTTAGGGAAAGCCCGGATCTTCATCAGTCTTGATTGGCTGACGGAACACAACCCCAAGGTGGACTGGCGGGAGCAGACAATGAGATTCAGCCAATGCCCAGAGCAGTGTCACATGAGGGGTCAGGAGAAGCACCAGGCAATGGTCAATATGGATGCAATTGATCTAAACATGAATGCACCGGATCTGGAAGAAGGGGAATCAATCTTGTTGGTCGACTTTGGGAGGGAGGTGGATCTTCGGCTAAAAGAAACACCAGCGCAGAAATTTGCAGAAGAAGCGGAGAAGGAGAAGGAGCGAACGACTGAAGGGAAAATTCCGGATCAATACTGGGAGTTTGTCAAGGTCTTTGCAAAGGAATCGTTCGACTCGCTGCCAGATCAACGAGCATGGGACCATGCAATTGAACTCAAACCAGGCTCCAAAGCAGTGGACTGCAAGGTCTACCCGCTATCACAAAATGATCTTCTTCAGTTGAGCCTTTGCTGGCCAGACATTCCATCAAATAAAATACTGTGTTGCACAACAGTAG